TCGATACCTACCTGACTTTAAACATCTTGCCAGATCATTAATTCACACATATGCCCTGTGTAGCTGCTCAATGTTCGATTGTTTTAGACTATTTATCGATACCACCTTCTTCAGGCCACATTTGCCTAGTCATTCGGTCCCATTCGGCTGCCATAGCGGCGAGCACAGGCAGTGAAGTGAAGTGAAGTGAAGTGACAAGGGACCACCTATTCCTATCATGTCGTATTCATTTAACAAGTATCTCGATTCGTATATATAGTCGGTGTACTAACAATTATGTTATATTATGGTTTTGCTTAGAATATTTTCAATCTATCATTTTGTTCATTTTGAAAAATGTGCTTTCTACGGACTTACTAAGGTTTGAAATATGTCCTAATATTTCGACATTTAAAAGTTTTGCTAGATTTGTCTTTTACTTATTAAAGTGGCTTTTCTGTTTTTCTGTTTACTGTTGTTTCACAAAACTTTTTAAGGTAATTGTTTCCCTTACTCAAGCAGTTTTTTCTGGTTGCTGTTACTTACTTTAAAAAAGAGGACCCCTCTTGTATTGTGACAGAGTGTTGTACCTTCAAAACCAATTGTGTTTTGTTTCTTTAAGTCTTAAACATTTTACTTGTGAGGTGATGTTGTGTTATGGAAAAAAATATATCAATAAAACCTTTTAGGCCAAACGATCGGATGATGAGACTCGTGGAGCAAGGGCAGGAGATGAAGGGAACTGACTGAGGAAATGACTTTTGAGAGAATACTTTACAAAGATTTATGGAACCTGGAGCCTTTATCCAAGTATTCCATTATTTATTACGGAACTCTCCGTCTCTCCTGCATATTCATATTCTCCGCTGCTTTCTCTCTCTCTCTCTCTCTCTCTCTCTCTCTCTCTCTCTCTCTCTCTCTCTCTCTCTCTCTCTCTCTCTCTGTCCCTCTCTCTCTCACACACACACAAACACACAGATACAAACACGCACACAAATTATGAAGGTAAATTTGTCTTGGGTTTAAAAGTAAATAAAAGTCTCCATCAGGCAAAACATAAATGAAGAGTACACGAAATGCTGTGCTCGCCAATTTATTTACAATATAGGCTGTTACTATGATCTCAGAGATATTGTATTGTGTTGTTTAAGAGGATACATTTTCCTATTCAGGATTTATCTTAGATAGAACCGTCAGAAGTAGGCGGAGAGCTTAAAAAGAGTTATCTAACAATTCCATATTCTTTTACAACTTAATGTTATGATATTATTCAGAATGACCCAATAAGAATTCAAACCAGTTCAGTTAGTTTTAGTAGAGAATTTACATCGCACGCAACTGCATATAAGGTTATATGAGCGCCAGAATATTAGAGGTGTTACAAGAAAGTAACACACTCAATAAAAGAAGAAGGTGAGATAAAGACGATAGATGTTTGATAGGAAAGAAGAAGCAAACCACACCAGGTAACCCGCCAACCACCCACGAATTCAAACCAGGATCGCTTGTACGCCAGTCTTGCACAAAAGCAGCAGTACAGGGGCAACACACAATGTTAACGTCATGGTGTTAAATACATCAGTAAAAGTAAAGACCCCCCTCTCCCCTTTCCCGCTACTACTGTCATCGCGGTTTACGACAATCAAAGCCCGCTGTTACTTATAAAGCTGCTACCCCATGATGATGACCTCTGATCTGCGCATCTGGTCAAGCACGATCGAAAAATGGGCCGTACTATACTTTATGAGGGTGCGGTGGCGGAGCAGTTAGTGCGCTCGTCTCCGAAGCGGAGAGTCCGGGTCCGAGCCTCGGTTAGAGTAGGGCACCGATTTTTTCGCCCCTTCCCGTCCACCCAGTAATAATGGGTACCTGACTTCAAGTTGGGGAAGTAAAAGCGGCGTGGAAAGGAACTGGCCTTACCACAATATGCCGAAGGCCCAGGAACTTGTCTCACTAACCAGGCAATCTCCAATGTCCGGATCGGATGCGGGAACGACTTTACTTTACTTACTATACTTTATAGTTCCCCAAATATTACCTGCAGCTGTTTGTTGTGGGGTGTTAGCAGGCGGTCTGATGGGGTTTGCTCCAAAACGTCCGTTGTCCTTAGCTCTCCTCCTTTTTTTGTATATGTTGCTCTCTAACAACACTTCAAACTTTGGCATTATAATACTTACTTACTTATTTACTTACTATCCAATACGCCATCTGGCGTTTAGGGCCGCAACAAAGGATCTCCAGCTCTGTCTGTTTTGGGCCATCTTGGTCAATGTCCCACACGGATGGTTCCAGGACTTCATTTCAGGTCACCTTGGGTCTGCCTCTCTTGCTATGTCATTCGGGTGTCCAGTAGAGTGCAGTCTTTACAATAGAGTCTGGTTCTCTTCTCAGAACATGCCCATGCATTATAATAATAATATGACATATTTCACCTTCTTTACTCTGTATGTTTCCCTCTAGTAACACCTCACATCTTCAGCATTTATATGACCTATTTGTGTTATAAGAGCCGTAAAACTCTTTCTAAAACTAAGTACGTTACCCTCTAGTAGCACCTCAAATCTTCGGCATTTATATGACCTATTTATTTGTGTTGCAATAACTGTAAAACTCTCTCTAAAACTAAATGATAAAGCAGTTTGTCAATGTTTGGTCTTCAACAGGTAATCAAGATGCTGGTTATCGTCCTGGTCGCCTTTGTCGTCTGCTGGACTCCGCAGCAAATATTGTTATTATGGGATGTCTACCGACCTATGTATGAAGTGAGGACAATAATTATTTATGCAAAGTGTGCCGTTTCATGTTATTGGATTTTTTAATGGCTCTTTGTTTACTGCTTTGTTTTTTGTTTTTGCAGCGCTAATTCCTTTGCTACGGGTAAATTGGTAAGCCTGTTAACATGTAACTCCCAACCTCCCTCTCTCCACACCCTCTATTAAAACAACCAACACAAACAAACAAAAGGAACAACACCTTACGGACAGTCCATCCCCTCCCCCTAACAAACAAACAAATCAAACTACAAAAACAAACAAACAAAATAGATATTTTAAAGCACTAAAAGGTTTATTTCCTATTTTACAAAAAAGTTGAGGGACAACAGATATTATAAATTATGTTTTGTTTCTGCAGATTAAGACGATAATGTATGATATTTTTTTTAAACAGAGCCTAAACCTAGTAAGATTCCCACTTTTACACTCATCAATGCTCCAGCAGAAAGACCGATATACATACTCGATAGAATAAGTCCCCGCTCGAGAATCGAACTCAGGTCTTCTGAGTACGAGGAAGAAGCGCCTGACCGCTGCACAGCAGACGCCGGTGATACCGGTGTGACTGTGAGTTATTCAACTGCTAAAATGGTTGCAGCCCCTGCATGTGCAGCCTATAGCAGATCTACAATCAAACCAACCTGCCCAAGACGACCATCCATTGTCGAGGAGAAGGAGTGATCATTTTAGAGAGGTGTTCCTCTTGGACTATCATAATATAATATATTATTTAATAATAATGTATTATAGAAAGGGAAAGTGAGGAGTGGTCGTTTATTCAGGTGGTTGTCTTGGGCGTTGTTGCAGGTTTGACTGTATTCTATATCCCCTCCCACCAAACACACACACACACACACACACACACACACACACACACACTTACACACTCACACACACTTACACACTCTCACACACACACACACACACACTTACACACACACACACACACACACTTACACACTCTCTAACACACACACACACACACAAACCGTCCCCACAAAGGTGCACAAAATAAGAATTATTCTTAACTATCAGACACAAACCATGTGAAACATCCTGGTGAAATCAGGCGCTCACCAAAATATTGAAATCGAAAAAGGCAATAATATTATTCCGCACATTTCGCAATGTTTTATATGGATTTTTCTTTCTTTTTTTTGTGTGTGTGTGTGG